TGACTGTCAATGTGTGTGTGTGAAAACAAAAATGAGACTTACCCTCACTTTGCCTGTTATGTCTCCTCCAGTGTTTTGTGCGCAGGTGACATATAGATCCGAGTGCACCGGCGCTATGTTTAGTACAACGAGCGCTCCAGTATACGAACCGAGAGAACGTCGACAAAAGTGCAAATTACCCCGGCAGGTCCTCAAACATTTATGAGTTCTTCAGCTCGTGTTGCTCCGCAGAGGCCTGTTAGATTTCATTGCATAATTCTATGCTCTGTTCCAGCGCCTCTATTGTTGCCAATGAACCTCTGTTTATTTGCCAGAATGTTTTTCTATCACGGCTCCCTCGGCTCACAAGCCAGAATACCAAATGATTTTTTCATCATGGAAAAAAGAAAAAGGTCTGCTTGATCCTCACCCGTGCAGCAGACGAGACCGCTGGAAAATAGTGGCTAACACGACTTGCCTAAAGCAAAACACCTCAGGCCGTCTTCATAGTATCCGGTACATAATCTCACTATTAAAAACTAAATTAAACTTTTGAACATCGTGCTGAAAATGTAGTTTGAAGCTATTATTTTTCATGATATTTTTCAGCTTGTCTGTGACATCTCTAAATGAATACCACAGGATATGAGACACTTATGCTAATATTTACGATTTCCCCCCCGACATTATGGAATTTCTTCTCTCTGAGGCAACCCCAAAGATGTTGCTTTGCTCAATGTGTATTTGCATGAAGACAAGATAATAGCACACATGCGCTCATTTAGAGATGTTCATGTGTCAGGACAAAGTTAAATCAAAGTTTTGTGAGCTGTCCGTGGTCCTGAATTATACACTTATCTATCTATCTATCTCAACTGGTATCTCCTGAAGCAATTTGCAACTTTCCACAAGAGACAGAGAGAGCTTTAGAGGAGATATTTATCACATAGAAAGAAGGCTGGCATGAGGAAACTAGAGGAGGAAATGAAAGCAGCCTGCATAGAAATGTCAGAATAGCCAAACTGCAATAAATTTAACATGCGCTGCAGATACAGTACATCAACCCTCACTGGCCCCTGATGCTGCTTAGAGTATGTTTAAGCCTGGGTAGATCAGATCAACCAGATACTGTCTTGTATTTTGGATCCCAATTGTAAACATCTGACTGAATGGAGGGTTTTTTTTTCTTCCCCGCTTCAGAAACACTGCTAAGATCAATACATGCAGGAAGTAGAGGCAACACTGTGATCTTATGGCTCCCACTAGTGCTCACTCAGTTCACTTGCACCTTCTGCTGATTTACACACCCCACAGAGGTCCACAAAGACTGCAGCACAATCCTTGGCAGCTTCACTCACAGAATCAGACTGTTAATACAGTGTGGAATCACAAACGGCAAAAAAGAAAAGAGAAGGAAAAAACACAATCTGCTGGCAACCCAGTTTATTATCTGCCATATAAACCAGCAGCCTGTGCAGACAACTTGGGCATGGTATCAAATTCTTAAGAAGAAGAGAAGGGAGGTGAGGAGGTGGACAAGGAGAGAGAGAGAGAGAGAGAGAGAGAGAGAGAGACTCTCCCCCAAGGTGTGGGAGGACTGTTTAACTCTCCTTGTTTCTGTCCTGCGGGACAAAGAGTAAAGTATTCCCAGAAAGTTTACAAAGGATGTTTTTAGCTCAGAAGATGAAAAAAATGTAATTTTAAGCATCAGTTTGAACGGACAACTTTAAAACAGAAGTGTATTTCTGTCATTGGAATTAAATTGTGGAATTCTTTAAATATTGATTTGAAGGGTTGTGTTCATATATTTCAGTTTAAGAAAATGTATAAGAACAGAGTAATCAGACTGTATGAAATTGGCAGTTTGTGTGTTTTGTGTGTTTTCCTTCTAATTTCTGAGGAAGTGAAGACTGAATTGTCAGATTTGTTTTATGTTGATATTCATTCACTGATTGTAATTTGGACAGAACCATCCAGACATTTATTGTTTTCCTTTTGAGTTAGGGGGTGCAGGCAAAACAAGATTTATTCTTCTCCCTGCTCCTTTCCGTACATGGGATGAAGTGTGAATAGTTTTTTTATTTTTCTGTTGTGTTTTGACATCTACGGAACAAATAAAAAAAATGAGGGTAGGTGGGTGAAGGGATTCATTTTCTCCATCAGCTCTTCAGTGTTCTTTTGTAACACACCTTTACAGGCCTGAAGCCAATTATATGCACATCCACACAACTAAAAAGTGCACATGCAAAACACACACACTCACACACGCGCACACACACTGAGGCGCTGCTTGTCAACATGCAAGTCCGGCAACTGCTTGGGGCCCCAGACCAGTACGGGGCCCCAGAGGGCAGAAAAAAAACCAAAACTAAAGCAGCTACCCATCATGTGCACATTTTGCAATGACAGTAGGAAACCTCCATAAGGGGGCCCCATCTCACAACATTCACTGTCTTTGCTCTGCAGAATGCTGGTTGAAGGGCCCCCCCGATTGATGTTTGCATTGGGCCCCAACGGACTTTAGAATCTTCACTGCGCGCGCACACACAAGCACGACTGTGAAAGCAGGAGCTTTAGCACACTGTCTGCCCCACACTCACTACACACTGAAGTGGAGGGAAAATCTGACACTTTGAAGACATAAACACACAAGAGGGAGCGGACCTTTATGTACCTGCTTCCTTTTTAAGGTACTTCTTTTTCCCACTCTGCGTTTGTCAATGACAGCAGTTTTTATTTACTCCCGCTATAAGGTCAGAACAGTCATCTCTAACTGAATCACGGTGCAGGAGGGGCTGTGTAAGCGCATAACCCTTTTTTTTATTTATCCATCTGTCCTCCTTCCTCTCCACGAGTTCATGCCTGCACCAGCATCACACGGAGGCTGTCTGGCAAACACCCGCCGCACAAGCCATTAGCGGTGGCAGAATGTAAGCTGTAATTACCATAAACGATTGTCTGCTAATGGTGGCTGCTTGAAGGTACTCTGTTACAGCTGCTGGACTGATGATTGATTCATCCTCTACCTGAAGTGGGCATGACGCCTTGGGAAGAATGAAAATGAAAAAAAAGGGAAAAAAACAAGCCATTAAGTATAGGAGCTCTGTTTCCCCTCGTCATGGTTTGAAGCACTAATGAGATGTTTCCGGAGCTGAAGGTTTCCACACATTGAAATGAAGGCAGCTCCTGCAGAAAGGTAGAGTTCTTCAAAAGCTCACAGCAACAGCTTTACTCATTCTCATCTTACTGATTCATCACACACCAATGAAGGCTTATGCATACTTTTAAGTGCATGTTTAAAAAAAATATATATATTTAGTAAAGTAGGTCAAATATTATTTTGAAAGTTTTACTTTTTGTTAGCAATCCACACAATACCTCAATATATATATATATATGTAGAACATACAGAATACAAAGAACTAATGTGGACTACTATTACCCATAGAAAGGTGACGTTGATATACCTACATCAGGGAAAGAAATGCAAAGTAAGATAAACCACAACGCAGATAAAAAAGAAAACAGCATCTCTAGTTGTGGAGCTTCTTCTACCATTTTATCTCAATTATCTGTTTTATCACACACACACACACACACACACACACACACACACACACACACACACACACACACACACACACACACACACACACACACACACACACACACACACACACACACACAGTATCTGGTGAATGTAGGTCAGTCCTGTAGAGAGATGTGAAAGTGAATAGTAAATCAAAACTATCTATCAGCTGATGCCACAGCAATGCTTCCCTGAGGCTAAACAGCAATGCTGTACAGCATGCAAGCGGATAACTTTATTTGTACATAAACACACACACACACACACTCATGCACTACTGTTTTGGTGAAAACATATGGTGTATGTGCTGAATAATTTAGAAGGATAAAAAAAACAAAAAAACAGCCATTTTCTGAGTTCCACTCGGAGGCCACTCACAGCTGAATGTGTTTCAGGTGTCAGCATTACTAAACATGAAGTCACCTGGGAAATACCTGGGTGATCTCTCTTCTGGTGAATAAGATTACATGTGTGGCGCTGATAGTTTAAGTATTCAATCTGCTCATCTCCCTCTGACACACACACACAATGTCAGCTCATTCAAATGCAGGTAGCAGGCTTCCTTTTTCTCTCGCTGTCCACCTCACTGAAGCTGATGTGAATAGATTAATAAGACCACCAGACATCAGTCTTTACAGTTCACAATTAGACGTCCTTCCCGTTCTCAGACTGGTAGCCAGGGCGCTGCAGCACTACACAAGTGATTCATTTCTTCCCTTGTTCACGTAATTGACCATCTGTCAGGTCCAATCATGGTGCAAACCAAGGTTGCTGCAGAGGACAGAAACTCAGCAGCTCCAGTCAAGAGAAAGACAAAACAAAAGACATCAAAAGCAAAAGTAGCAGGACATCTGCTAGACATGTGTCCCTGTGTCTTCGTCTCATATTCAACAAATGAATGCATTACAAGATTTTCTATCAATGTCCAGCTGAGCAGATGTAACATGTAAAAGCCCAAACATATAGTTAACTGCCTTCATTTTGAAATGACTCTGGAAAAACTTAATTGGAGGGAAAAGGGGGGCGGGGTTAAAAACCACTGTGATAAGTGAAAATATTGTTAACTTCTGATTCAACAATAACCTTCAAACCAGCACTTGCAGTGAGACATGGAGCAGAAAACATTCAACTAATTGTTACAACTTACCGAACATGTGCTGCTTTTGTCCCTGGCCTGCAGAGATTGTTAAAGGATGCATGAACATGAACCTGTGCAGGAGTGTTAACATCTGTTTCTTGTGTTTTCATGATAAATAAATATTATTCATTTATAAATCGTTCTGTGGGAGAAGATGAAAATAATAAAGACAACCCACGTGTTGGAAAAGTACAAATTAGCTTAGTTGCAATATGTAGGCGAAAAACAGGACTACATTTCCTCACCGACCGTGATGTCATCTGTACGCGACGGTGAACACGTGACGTTTTGTTTTGGTTCCTCTCTCTCCTGCGGAGTGATGACAGTAGATCTATCTGTTTCCTGTCTTTACCATGATCTTCAGTCGAAGTGGAGAGGAGGCTTCTGCAGGATGATGGACTACAGCCTCCTCCTCTGTTTGAACGCTCTTCTCTTTTGTTGCTGCTCCTCTTCACGGACAAACTTCGTCCTCCTTTTCGCAGACGACTTGGGTTTCGGGGACTTGGGGTGTTATGGACATCCGAGTTCAGTCACTCCGAACCTGGACCGTCTGGCAGCGGGAGGACTCCGGTTTACTGATTTCTACTGCACCAGCCCGGTCTGCAGCCCGTCCAGGTACACTCAGTATCTGTACTTCATGTAGGACTGATGCTGACTTATCTATTTTATTTATTTATTTTATTTTATTTAAATTTATTTATTTTAATCTTATTTAATATTTTATTTTATCTCATTTATTTATTTTATTTTATTTTATTTATTTTAATTTATTTTATTATCTCATTTATTTATTTTATTTTATTTTATTTATTTTAATCTTATTTAATATTTTATTTTAATCTTATTTTATCTTATTTAATATTTTATCTCATTTAATATTTTATTTTATTTAATCTTATTTATTTAATTTAATTTAATTTATTTTATTATATTTATTTTAATCTTATTTTATTTAATATTTTATCTTATTTAATTTAATTTATTTTGTTGTAAATTTCCCCATTGTGGTATAAATAAAGGGTTATCTTATTCGATGTAGTGTTATTGTCTGGGAGGAATGAAAAGGTTGCATCACTACTTGTCAAGAAAAGTTTAAATCCAAGCAGACAAGTTTTAAGATTTTAAGGATCCTTGTATGTTTTGCTAACCCTCCATACCTTTAAATTAAAATAACAAAATGTAAAGTAAAATAAATGTACCCTACAGCACAAACTGGATGTATCATTTATGTCAGAAGAGCGAAGAGCAAAACTGAAGTCTCGTTCTTTGTGGGAGTGAACTATTGTTTCCGTTATTAGTTTATTTGCACATTTTTTGAAAGAAGAGTCAAACAGAAAAATAGAAAAAATAAAAAACAAAACACATGTGCAGGTGAGGTAGAAACCCATGAGGGCTTATCTCAAAACCTCACCTTAAGAGATTAAACAAAGTTCAAATAAAATACAGTAAAAATAAGAATGAATATTTACCATCACAAATAAAATTTACCCCAATTGAAAATTACATTCAAACATTGAAAACATAAAAATAGAGCAAAACAGGAAATACAGTATGTAGACAATATAACAAAATCAGGAACTGATACTGGTATTTGATTCAGTTTGTAATGCAGTGGTAGAATCATTTCGGATACTTTCATGTAACTAAAGCTGAAGTTAACAGCCCTGTTTTGTTTCGATGGCTTTTCAGGGCATCATTGCTGACCGGTCGCTATCAGACCCGCTCGGGAATCTACCCAGGAGTGTTGTACCCGAGCTCGATAGGCGGCCTGCCTCTGAACGAGACCACTATCGCTGAAGTGTTGAAACCTCTGGGTTATGCTACTGCTGCCATCGGGAAGTGGCACTTAGGAGTCGGTGCAGACGGGGAGTTTCTTCCAACCAGGCAGGGTTTTGACCAGTATCTAGGGATCCCCTACTCCCATGACATGGTGGGTGAATAATCCCAAAAAATAAATCAATGCAAGGTTATTTGTAAAAAATAAAATAAAATAAAAAAAAAAGTAGCATCACTTAATTTATTTTCCACAATATTATATTTAATATTTTGTGTGTGTGTGTGTGTGTGTCCAGGGACCCTGTTGGAACCTGACCTGTTTTCCTCCTGATGTAAAGTGTGTTGGACTGTGTGATATCGGCACTGTAACTGTCCCACTAATGCACAATGAGATCATCAAACAGCAACCAGTCAACTTCCTCGATCTGGAAAGGGCTTACCGTGACTTTGCGACCGATTTTATTTCAACGTCAGCCAAGAAAAAACAACCGTTCTTCCTCTACTATCCTTCCCACGTAAGTCCCGGGAAAACAGTGTGTCAATGACTGTCTTTCATTGGTCACAAGCAAAAAAAAAAAAAAAAAACTCTGTAAAAAAAGTAGAAAAAAAAAGTTCAGTTGAATTTTTAAAGAAACACATTTTTGTAAATAAGTTATTGTTGTTGTTATTTTTCTCTACAGCACACCCACTACCCGCAGTATGCAGGTCCAGGGGCAGCAGGGAGGACTTCAAGGGGCAAATTTGGAGATGCTCTTCTGGAGTTTGACAACACAATAGGGAACATACTGACAACATTGGAGAAGATGGGAGTGCTCAACAACACACTCATCTTCTTCACTTCAGACAACGGGTTAGTTCTGTATCTACAGCGTATGCAAATGATTTCCTGCCTGTGACCAGTCACTGATAAGCTCCCATGCATACTTTAATGTCTCTGGAAACAGCAGGAAAGTAAATGACAACCGAAGAACTGACAAAGCCAAAGAGTTGTTGTTATCAATGAGAAAAGGTTTATTTTTAACAACAAAAGAAAACTGAATTTGAGGGGGGGGGGGGGTGGGGTGAGGATTGGACAACGTGGGTGTGCCAAAGAAATAAACTCAACAAAACCAGACCTAACTAGTCTCTTAAAAGAAAAGCAAAAACAAACCTAACTAACTTCTCTACAAAATATTGAAAGAGAAAACTACACGGGTGGCACAAACCACACTTACCTCGTGTTTCTAACAAAGTTAACTAAGTAAGTGTAGCAAATGTAGGAGAAACCCCAATTTACCTAATCCAACCTCACCACAAACCTCTCAGAACAATGATCCAAAAAACAAAAACTGACAGAGAATGATGCTCCATCATGAGTGGTGTGTTTATATGGAGCCTCTCAGGTGCTCATCAGTCAGTTGCTGGGTAACACAGGTGAGGTTGATGAGGTGATTACCTAGAGGAGCAAATCAAAAAGGAGTGAGGTCTCACGCTGTCAGACATGTAACAATACATATTCATCACAGCACACTACAACAAAAGCTCTTGTACAGTCGTGGTGTTTAATATCTGTTTTGTAGTATATCTTTGCCCACATTTCAACGCTTTTAATATTCATTTTCATTTCATTTATTATACAGGAAAGTTTCAAAGTAACATTAAGTTACAGTTTATCGGGCCTGACTCAGTTTAAAAAAACTGGTTTCCAGCAGGTTCCTGTTGTGCAGAACATGAAACATAAACCAGTCATGACACATCAAGACAAACACATTTACAGGACATTAGCATGAGCTAGGCAAATACAGACAAACAGTACAGATACTGCGAACAGTACATGAACAATACATGAGTGCAGGTGTAAGTGTGGAGAAGGTGTCGTTTGTATGTATTTTTGAAATATGAGGTAGATGGTAAAGTTCTAATGTGATGGAGAATGTCATTCCAAATGTTGGTGTGTGTAATATTAAAACGATTGTTTGTGTGTAGGCCTGAACTGATGCGTATGTCCCGCGGAGGTAACGCCGGTCTTCTGAAATGTGGAAAAGGTACCACGTATGAGGGAGGCATGAGAGAGCCGGCTATCGCTTTCTGGCCCGGGACCATCAGGCCAGGTGAGGACACCTCAGTCACCTGCACATGAATGTTTAGATTGGGTGATACTTCCAAAGAAGTTAGTTCTCTTAGTCTAGTGTTAAAATAATATGAACATGTTTTCTTTTTTTGACTAAACGAACTGTCAATATGAATATACACATATATATATATATATATATATATATATATATATATATATATATATATATATATATATATATATATATATATATATGTATATGTGTATATATAATTTAATTTAAATGATCAACACACACTTATTTATGTAAATACTGTAATTGACATCTTAATTGACCCATCTCTCACATAACTGCATTTTACTTCTCATGTTACTTCAGCATCTTTTGCACTATTCACCACTGCACTGTTTCATATTTAGTCATGTAAATATTAGTCTTTTCTTATTCTGTTTATTGTTGATATTTAATGTTGTACCTGTACATAAGAGAGCACAGTTCACCAAAGTTAAATTCCTTGTGTGTGTGTGTAAACATACCTGGACAATAAATCTGATTCTGATGTTCTGATGTCAGACTTCAAATCCAAACACCAGCTTCATTTATTTTTAGAAATCAATTATGGAAAATGTTGCAATGAAGTTCATACAAACCTATTTCAACGTGACCTTTGAATGATTGCTGCTCTTTCTTCCCTCTACGCTTCTCTTTAGGTGTTACTCATGAAATAGCCAGCACTCTTGATATCCTCCCCACAATCGCAAGCTTGGCAGGAGCCTGTCTCCCCCAAGTGGTGCTGGATGGGGTCGATATGACTGAAATGCTCGTCCACCAAGGGAAGGTAGCGGAATCTCACTTCACACTGTGTAATAACATTTAATCTAAGCGGATGTTGTCACCTTTTTGTTTTTATATTTTCTTTGCAGAGTAAGCGGGGGACGATGATGTTTTACCCCACAGATCCGAGTGAGAAGTACGGCATGTTTGCTCTCAGGTTAGGGAAGTACAAGGCCCACTTCTATACTCGAGGTACAGCAGGCTTCAGGCTTTTTATATTTGATATTTTACATTTTTAAATTCTATTTCATATATTGTAATATCTTCTTATTCTGTATTATTTAAGTTGTTGCTAGTTCTGCTTTATTTCCTTGTTAATTGTTTAGCACCAATACACCAAGTTAAATTCCTTGTATGTGTAAATGTACTTTGCAATAAACCCAGATTCTGATTCTGATTCTGATTCTGATTCTGATTCTGATTCTGATTCTGATTCTGATTCTGCTCGTTTGTCTAAATGTTAAGATAAGTAGAATTGAGCAGATTAAGTAAAATCAAGCCGTTAATTTTACTCCAATGCCTTTCCCACGTCTGTGCATCAGGTGCGACCCACAGTGGCACCACCCCAGACCAAGACTGCCCAGTGTTTGCGCTCCTCAAGGCCCACGACCCCCCTCTGGTTTTTGACCTGGAGGCCGACCCCTCGGAGAACTACCCTCTTTCCCCGGAGGAGAGACCCGACCTCCAAGCTCTGCTGGAGAGAATCAAAAAGGTGAAGGAGCAGTTTGAGGCGTTCATGGTGTTCGGAGAGAGCCAGATATCGAAAGGAGAAGACCCCAATCTGGAGCCTTGCTGCAATCCTCAGTGCAGCCCCAGGCCCAGCTGCTGCCGGTGCTGATGGGAAGAAATAAATTCTCTTGTGTGTTAATAAAGACAAGGTGGGAAAGTGTGGAGGTATTGCACTAATTGTTGAGACAGCTAAGCTTTAATTACTGTTCATGCTGAGAAGTAATAAAACAATCAATCTGTTTCCTCAATGAGGGGACTTTTTTCTTACTGTTGCTACTGAATACACTTAAAGTTAGTGTGTAACAATATACTTATATATACATGTTTCTTCACAGGTACAGTTTGAATAAATGTTTAATTATCTCATTTTTTAATGCTTTATTCATTATTTTTAAAGGCTTTATATGTGATTTTTTGATCCAGCAGATGTCGCCCTTGAGCACCAGCATGAAACCAAAACAACTCACGCTGCATTGTTGTGTTAGCATGCTAATGCTAGTGATCTTTATTATGCTGGTATCTTCACACTGCATGTAAATTTACCTGAAATGAGCGTGATCTAGAAACACAGTTAAGCAGTGAGTACAGTATGTTATTCTTCTTTTCTCTAGTCCCTCAATTAAACAACTTTTATACATGAGGGGAGGAGTCAGCCGGCCGTCCGGGCGATGTAAACAAAGTGAACATAGGACTCTGAAAACTCTGAAAACATCACAGACAGTGGGACTCGGGTGTTACACCCATTGGAGACAGTCATGACTCACAGAGTTATTTTCAGAGGATAAACTTGATTTCACTTATAAAGCCTTTAATGTGAAGATTTTTAATTCTAAATGACATTCTGATTAATATAACCACACAAACAATCAACAGTTCAATAAATAAAGGACCATCAAGCTTTTGGACATCAAGCATATATTTTATTCATAAGACCAAACCCATGACAAGGCAGAGTGATTTTTTTGTCTTTTTTTTTTGTCTGTTTTTTCCCTGGAATTTTACAAGTCCTTGTTTTTAAAGATACAAGATAGGATATGTTTGTTCTGTCACATACTGTTTTTGCTCTAGGTATACAGTGAAGAATCTCGTTAATGTAATAAAGTTGAAAGTTTGCTTTAACTGTTAATGTTAAATGTCTCAGCGGCTATGCGGGACTAGCTCATCTTCAGAGGTTTGTTTTTGTGTAGCTGTGTGGAGAGGAAGAATTCTGAACTAGGCTGTAACGAGATAGAAAAACCAAAAAAAAAGAATCAGAAGCAGATAGATACAGATCAGAGACAGGTCACGCTGCTCAATGGTGAGTACTATAATCAGCAGGTTGCAATAATAGCTTTTCAAGTGGCCGCTGACTCAGGTCACTACTCAGCCCTAAGAGCAGATCGGTCGGTTGTCTGGTGGGGTGTGTCACACACTGATGATGTCACAGCTCACAAATGTGCCCTAAATTGCTGAAGCCTGTGTGTGGAGAGTTATGGAATTGGCAGAAACCCTAAATGCCACATGTGTGACAGGTACTTACATAACATCCTGTGTGGAAACGGAAGACACTTAAAAAAAGAAATCATTGTAGGTCACAGATAATTGTGTTGTTTTTTTTTTCTTTTCCATCAGGGGTTGTTGTCTGGTTGTAATCTTTTTTAAATTCTTTTAAATGTACATATTCTTTTCATAACATACTCAACATAAAGGACACAGCACTATTGTAGATTTGCTATTGTATATACATGATCTAACCGACGGCAATACATATGTAAATAACCCCCCGTTACTAACCACCTGCAAATAGCAACTTACAGTGACACTGAAAACCTGTAGATCTGAGGTGTTTCTTCTGGTGGACTGTGACTGAAGGCAGCCATAAACAATGCAAAACTATACTAAAGGAATATTGCAGATGGCTTTTTGTGAATGCATCATTTTGAATGAACAAGGTACGTTAATGTAAGCCAATCATGTGCTACAATAACCCCCTAAAGAAGGTTATTGTGTAATGTTAGAATGATGTTTTAACCTTTGACATGACTGAAATCAATAAATAAAAAGTAGGAACATGTTGCCATCCCTTTGATCAATCACAACAAAAAGTCTAGCCATTTACAGATCTATAAAACCTCCCATGTAATGCTTTATAAAAGGTTTACTGTGATACCGGGACCAAGTAAAAGACGGATGCTCTTATTGACTACCACTTAGACTTGCCTGTCGTTTATACACTGCCACGTCAAAAAGGGAACAGAGACCAGGATGTCACTGAAAACCAGGGTTAAACAGTCGGACGTGTTGAGAAATATGGCTTTTCAGAGGGCCTATTCGTTCTTTTACCTGAAAGTCACATCAGTCATAGCAAAGCAATACAGTGATTTATGGTTTTGCATTTGTTACAGTTGAATGATTATCCTATGAAAAGCTCCCAAAACCGTGAAGGTCAGCCAAGCAGTGAGATTTTGAAGTCTGAATAATAAAAAGTAAAACATTTGTGTCATGTCATCCAGATGTGCTGACAGTAGCTGCGTCGAATCCAAGCTGAATACAAATATCTGCAGGGCTAAGAACATTCAAAGGTCATGCCAAGTCATTACACCTCTTTAATCTCTTACACCTGCTTTTTACTCCCAACAAACAAAAAAAACCTTTACTGTCTCAGCTGTGTGTTTGTTAATTAGTCTGGATGAGGCGCCTGTATGTCTACTCTCTATACATGTATTTACAACACACACTAAAGCAACACATGGGTAAGCTCGGACCAAGGACGGTTCACTGCACTCTCTCTACTTTGCTCCAAATGTCACTATCTCGTAGAAATCAAAAGAGCAGTTTGTCGATATTGAACAAATACATATTTACAGTAAAATGAAACGCTTCATCCCGCACAATTCCCCCTCGCTGATTGTTGAGCTGCTTTGCCATTCTCTAGGATATGTGTAAAGTCCCTGTGTCTCTGTGTGCAGTTATCCTACCAGCCATGCATTGAAAAGTGTAACAGCAGTAGTAGGTATATTTTGTTTTTTCATTTCAAAAGAGGGAACCCTTTTAAATAAACAGGTGCTCAGCGTCTTGGTTTTTTTCATATCATAGAAAAAGATAAAAGAAAACAGGCAATCGATCCATCAAGATGATGGAAATAAACAAAGACAAAGAGAGATGAGTGAGTGAATGAAATCAGTCAAATGCCAAGCGGTACTGTAGAAATGAAAATCCCCAGTTCAGAGGAGTGTTTTACAATGAGGGAAGAAGAAGACCCCCCCCCCCACACTGACAGCACCCTCTGGTGGCAAACTCAATGACCATACACAAAAGCTGTGGAGAAGGAAGCAGGTCGTCATGGCAACACTTCTTACTCCAGGTAGATGTCCTCGGTGGGACAGGCGTACTCCAGATGCTCCTGGTAGTACTCCTGGAAGGCCCGGCTGCAGACACAGACGAGAGCATAATGATCGACCTGCCAGCAGCTGTTATGACGCAGCACTCCACATGTAATCCTCTCAGATTTTACAGTCATGCACTGAACTGTTTTACTAAGAAGTGGCTGCTTGCTGCAAACACAAAGACTGACTGCCTCATTAAAATAATAATCCAGTGCCAACACAGAAGGACTCCTGGTGAATTAGCTTTGCATGAGTTCTGCCTTTGTCTTCGTGTCTCTATCTTTCAAACAGAGCAGGAGAGGCTGGTGGATAAATCAGGCCCCTCCCCTTCCCATGCACTGCTGCCTGGAGACTCGCTACTCCAGAGACAGTGAGATATCTGTCTCTTTAATTATTCAAAGCTAAATATGGCTGAATCAGACATGACTAAGCATGCAATCGTTATTTAACCTTCTGTGCATGCAAACATATACAGTAAAAGACTGAAAATAATCCAGCTGCAGATTAGAGTGTTCGAGTGAAAAAGATTATATTAAGTCAACAATTTTGTTTGGACTATAATAGAAAATCATGAAAGATAACTTTTAATATGAAGTTGAGCTAAATAGTTTCAATTTAAATGTCATGTTGATGTGGAAGTATGTCAAATTAAACCCCAGAAAAAACAAACATACACACCAAAATGAAGGTTAATTAATAAAGTTATAACGTCATGTGGACTCACCCAACACACTCTGCTACAGGTCGCATGGACTCCTGGGATACAAACACATGGCAAGCAAATCTGTTCAGCATCGGGTGCTTTGTGATGAAACCAAAGTAGCTGCAGAGAGAGAAGAAAACAACATGATCAAAAAACATGCCAGGTGACACGCAGCGCACTCGTAACACAACAAGTGGCTTCATATTTACCAGTTGTTCCTCGGATGACATCCGCAAAATGAAATGTTTTTCATCTGGAAGAAGTGACTGCATCTGTCATACTGAAGATGACAAAAAAAAGATTACTCAATCGTCAACAAAAGAGGAGTTGCAATATAATTCAATATTTGAGATGTAATTGTCTACGTTTCATTCATCCATGACTTCATACCTCATCAAGAGTGTCATATTCATCCTCCAGGCTCATGATAAGTTTTACTCCTTGCAAGCTAATCTCTAACTCGCACAGGGAAGGAGGCCGCACATGTACCGTCCGTTTCCTAGATATCGCAATCTAACACACAAAAAAATATGTACATGTAAAAACAAACAGGCTTCAATTTGCACACATGCTTGCGTCTGTTTTTAATCCAATCTTACCTTCTGCATTGCAGCGCAGAGAATCCCATTGCCTTGGTGATAAGGTACCTCAACAGACCCCAAAAACTGAACGCTGACGGTCTCGATCCAAGCTGGATTTCTTTTCATTCCTGCACAGTATGATGTGAGGGGGTACATGCAGATCATGTTATTTCACAAAGATCAGGATGAGAGCGTATAGGAGGACAGTCGAAGTAACTCTTAACTCACCCAACAACTCTTTAGACTGGCCTATGACCTCGTTAGCATAGAAGGCAGGAAAGATTCCCCTCTCCCCCGTCCGCATGTTATAACCTCGGTACCAGTAATCGTCCTCTTCTTCCTCCACGTATAAAGGGTCGTCCACATCGAGCTCCAGCTCATCTGCATGTCTGGGAATAAACCTGCAAAGAGAAGCATAGGAGGGGAAGAGAAATGTTGTGTTCTTACACGGAATAGATAAAAAAGCTGGGCAGACAGTAGCCTGAAGTGCTTTATTAAAGTCAGTCTGATTTCACCTGATCCTGGTTGTGGGGGGGGGGGGGGGGGGGGGGGGGGGGGTCAGAGAGTGTCAGAGAAAGATGGCAGAAAAAGGTTCAGGCGGACTAACAAGTTCTAAATGTGGGGACATAATTATCGAAAGAAGAGAGCAATTACTTCGTTACACATGCACAGGTGGTGAATGTTGTGAATATTACTGGCCAGCTGGCAGATCTCAAG